CATACTTGAATGTATAATCAGCAACCCGCCCCACGCGATACTCCAGAACCAACCGACCAGGAAAAAGGTGATCGTGAAGAACTGGGAGGTCCCGACGAGAAAGTTGATTACTAAAAAAACCATATTTGCCCTTTTTACCGTTTGAAAACTTACATAAAGTGGTCAACTTTCTGCCCTCCTTCATATTGATGCGTGGTTGGCCCATGCACAGCGCGCAGACACCAGAAATGATCGTGCCCGAGCCGGGGATTACGATGTTCTGAAATGTATACCGGGATTTTTAGTATTTTTTATCGAAAATAAATCTTATTTATAGTTTATTATGTAAACGTCATAAAGCAGTTATTTTAGCTGTAGTTTAGAACGTTATAATAGTCGAAACTCAGCAAAAAAAGCTTAAAAAACGGAAAAGGAAAAGCCGGTGCCGTTCTTCCAGAATTTTTATAAAAAAATAAAGTTTAGAAATAGCATTCGTTATAGTTTATGGTGGTAATTTGTTGAGTAATAATTTACATTAACAGTTTAGTAAGGTCTTACCCAGAAAAACTAAAAATAACAGCGCCACCGAAATCGGAAAAATCGTATTGTCGCGTAGATTGCGTTTTTTAGTAATTTCTAGGAATTTCTATAGAAATAAAGGTTGTAAATCGTAGCTATTGTAGTTTATAGTATTCTTTCATAAAGTCCTTTTTTACAATGCTAGATGTATGGCTTTTAACCCACCAAGACCAAACAAAACAGCGCCACCGGAACCGGCAAAAATGGTATCGCCTCGTGCATTGTCGTAATATCGTTCGTAGGCAGGTTTACCTATAAATTAAACTTATTTACATAGAATTTAACTACAACACATACTTTATCTCCATTTTTCGGCTCCTTGACCGTGTGGGCTTCCTCGGTGGCCTGTAGCACAATCCCAGTGATGTTCAGGCCGGGTGTCCCGCCCTAAAAACGCAATCAGTTAATTAATTACCACATTTTCTCAAAGGCAAGTACAATTGAATACTGAATACTTTAATTATATTAATATTAATTTCTTTAATAAACCCACATCGCCTTTCGACTGCAAAATCCCCTCCGAGCGGCCGTAGTCGATAATCTTGGGCAACGCCTTCTGCATCAGCCGCCATCCTCGCGTTTTTTCGGCTAGAAAGTCCAGTTTTATTTTGATTTAAGTTCCGCTTTTGCTTTGCTCCTTTTTTAAAAACTTACAAAACCCCAGTGAGGTTACGTTATCCAACGAAAGCATTTTATGGCCTATGAGTTTTTTCGGTTTTGGGCGCTATCGATACTAAAATTTTCCATTTTGGGAGCAAAATGGAGCAGCAGAAGACTGACCTTTAAAATAACGAAAAATATGTGAATAACATAGAAAAAATGTGTTTAACACAAGTATATTAGGCGGCACGAAGGCTCTCGGTTCTTTTGCATTAACGGGGGGGGGGGGCTATCAGAGAAGTCGAATTTTTCCGACGTGTCCATAGTGCAATAGTATTTTAAGTTTTTTTACTATTTTTATAAAAATTAGTAATATTTGAAACGAAAACTCGCTAGAAAAATCCGAAAAATGTTCAAAAATCGGGTATTATTTACAAGATTCTGCATTGTTTTAAGCATGAAACGGCTAATAATGTAAGAGCAAATCTTTTACAAGCCTTTTTCATAAAATTTAGCTGCGCGTGCAACTCTTTAGAATAATACGGCCCTTTTTAAAGATGTAACGGGTCGAAAATCGGTCATTTTTCATCGAAAAATCCTTCGTTTTCGTATTTTGTTGATGCAATTTTGTAACGTTTCTACCTATAGGAATAGTAAAAAATAGTGAAACCTTTCCTCTATTAATCTTAAAAAAACTGAGGTTGAAAACTGAAAAAAAAGTTTCACCTCCCCCATCACGCCAAATAATCGCTTTCTCTAACACTCACCCCCATCATGCGGGCTTCTGCTGCGGCTCGCGCGCCGCTTATGCTTGCCCTTATCCGCGAATTTTTTCACGTAATGCGCTCGGATCATCGTTACAGCAGCTTACTACCAGGGTAATAATACCAAATCAGTTAGACAGTATCCGAATACGTTTTCTTGGCCTAGCGTTTAGAATATAGATGTCCCAAATATACCCGAGGGCTTCTAGTCGATACTGCCAGCACCCCGCTTATAGCCAAGTAGAGGCTCGGAAGTACGGCCGGGCGAGCTGGTCCCTGGCAACAATTCACCCCCCTCAAAATTGCCCAAATAGCTGGACGAAAAATACGGAGCCCATTGTTCGACGTTCAAAGTTGGGAGGTGTTTTTAGCTAAACAAACTGTTGGCGGGAGAAACCTAATCTTTATCCTAAGAACCCTGGACGAAATCCCGAGTCCATTGATGTAATTAAAACGCTTTCTATCATTTTAAACAGTTTTTACATCTAACAAGTTCGGACGCAAAAATGCAGTCTAATGCGGGTCAAAACTAAAAAAAGGCAAAAATTTTCCAAATTTTCGAGCAATCAAAAACTACTAAAATCTGGCGAAAAAAACAGGATCGAAAATACATTGAAATTACCATTTTTACCTTTTTACCTCTGAACACAATAATTTTACTTTACAATTTGAGAAAACTAAATTTTTCTCGGTGTATAGAAATGCCTAATAACGCAATAGTAGGTGTTTAATGGCGTTCTTAGTAAGATTTAACCATATTTTTCAAGGGGAAAACTAGCTAAAATAAAAAGCTAAGTAAATGTTTAAATTATTTCAGAATTTTGGTATTTTTTTGTATTGTAAGAACCTGCAAAGTTTTTATGTACAGGAATAGTCAAAAACTGTTTAGAACACTCCCCCTATTTATCCCGAACGCCGGAAAATCCGCTTGCAATGCTATGAAAAAGCCAGAATAACGGTTTTAAAAGCGTACACCAACTCGACCTTCAAAAAAAACCGGAGCTCAACGCAGAGCTCGAGCTTTAGTGGCAGAAAAAGTTGGCAACCGCCCAAATCTTAAACAACAACAACCAACTAGTATACTAAAAAGGCACCAGTTTTCGGCTTCTAGCCCGAGAACAATATGCACTCCCTCGCCAAGAGGCCCTAGTGTATGCCCTATAATTGTCCACCCTCCTCCACAAGTCCCCCACCGATCTCCCCAGCCTTTTTGCTACGGGCCATTATTCTGAAATGCACCTCCGGTGGCTGAAGCCGCAAGTTCCGTGTTGTGCCCACTTGCGTTTCGATGCTCTTGACAACCAGTGCAGCCGATCCGAACCACTTTATCATAACAGAACACACATCTCGCGTCGCAATCAAGAGATCAAAATATGTAACAACGAAACAATTGGAATTTGGCTAGACCGGACGAAAAAACATTAGGGGGGAAGGCCTGGAAAGTGAGGAAGTGTGGCATCGGGTTATTTGGCATCATGGTCTAGGAGCGGCTTCTGCTGCGGTGTCCACGCATTCTGAAAGAACAAGGTTTTGGCGTTGCAACAGTGGGCAGCTAGCTAACTTAGCTTACAATTAGCTTCAACTGAACAAACAGTTTAGAAAGCTCAGAAAAATTCAAAAGATCCTGGTCGAAAAAATCGCAATTTTTGTATTGTTTAAAGTTGTGAAGTTTTGACTTTTAGGCGAGGTCTAAATCGTGCCAACACAAGTTTTTGAAGAAGAACACAACCAGAAAGAAACCAAATTTTTTTTAAAGCTGATAAGCCTAGTAATTAAAAAAGCATACCTGTTGTTCCCAAGAGGGATCGTATTTCCGCCGGTTCCGCGCGGTCCTCCAGGAGGTGAGCGCTTGCGGTAGGCCGGTGAGCGAGATCGACGAATCGGGCTGCGGCGAGGCGGTGGGCTGCGACGACGAATCTAAAACAACTCGTAACCTAGAAAAAATATAAACACGATACCGGACTACGAGCTCTTGGCGGTGGATCGTCGCGGCGACCCAGAGTAGCTTCAACCTAGAAACAAAGGTATTTTATCGCAACAAAAGCCACCGTCGAAACGAACTACCGAGAAAAACTCGCCAAAAAACGTACCGACACAACCTGTCCATCAATCTGACCGCCATCCATATGCTTCAGCGCCTTCTCAGCTGCATCCGGCGTGTCGTACTCCACATAACCATAGCCACGGCCCATATTTTGATGGCGATCAGTCGGCAGCTCGCAAGCCTTCAGGTCGCCGTAGATTCCGAAAATCTCCGCCAAATGTTCCTAAAGATAAGGATAAAAGCCTCATTAAAATCAACACACCTTGGTAACGTTGCGCGACAAATGTCGAACGCAGAGGCGACGAGCCGGGCTCGTCTTTCTCGGGGCCGCTGGGGACGAGCGACGCGGAGATTTCTTGGGCGATGAGCGACGGGGCGAACGACGAATTGGTGAGCGACGACGGGCAGATCCCGAGCGGCTGCGACGACGTCTGATCGGCGAGCGAGCATTGTTGCGACCTCAAAATTGGAAGAATAACTCGCATTGTCACACAAAACTTACGATCTGGGCCACTACGCCTCGGCGAAGCAGAACGCGAGCGACGGCGGGCCGGAGGTCCACCACGATTCCTAAAAGAAAAGGAATGTAAAAACAAATATAAAATACTTGGCAGGCGATCGAGAACGCGAAGACGATGAGCTGCTGGATGAGCG